CACGTAAAGAAGATCCTCTTTGTACGGCGTATGTGAGCAAAACTGTTGGCACCAGATTTTTGGTCACAATTCACTTCTGGTAAATACATTCTGTCCAATAAAACTTCTTCAGTTTTAACTAGGTAAGTTGGTTATTGTTTTTTCATTTTAGAAGCTGGGTAGAATCACCTTACAGTTAACAGCTTCCACCCCAGGCCAGCCTCAGGTGGATGAGCTTCAGGAGTGGGCAGGGTGCCGGGACTGGTGTTAACCAACTTCCAGAGGCGGGAGAGACTTACTGAAGGGATAGTTGCTGAGCGCTTTAATATCTGTAGATGAAAGGCACTGTCGCAGTGTAAAGCATTCATGATCCAGTTCCATCGCAACAGGAACTCAATTAAGAAGGAATTCAATTTCTTTTCTGAGTGTTTGAGGACACACCACTGTTTTGTTGAGTGTGACTGACACTCTACAGCGATCTAGCCGAGACCGATTTTGATCACCACTTCTACCCTCTCCTCTACTTCCTTGCCGTTCTGAGACTGATAAAGTTGGAGAGATGGCATACGAAGCCAGAGAGCACATGGCCAAATAATCTGTACTTAAAATCTGATTTTTCAGATAAAACTTGGCTTTTGAGAAAATGTTCACCACTTGGAAATAAAGAAACATCCAGCAATAAATAAACTTCATGACGCTCTCTGGAAATGGACACTGAGTTTTTAAAATGTAGTTTTACAGGTAAACCCACCAGGGGAGCCCTAAGCTGCCAAAGCACGATGCCTGCAACAATTAGCATGAGACCAGGACTTCCCCATGGGCCCATGATACGCAGCGTAAGAGACAGTACTGCAGATACCTTCTGGACGCTTGGCAGAGAAGGATACAATCATTCTACCCGCGGTGCTTGGATTTGGGTCTATGTATGGATAACAGCAGAGAAGGCAATGGCACCCCACTCCAGTACTCTTGCCTGGAAAATCCCATGGACGGAGGAGCCTGGTAGGCTGCAGTCCATGGGGTCGCTAGGAGTCAGACACAACTGAGCGACTCCATTTTCGCTTTTCCTTTTCATGCATTGGAGAAGGAAATGGCAACCCACTTCAGTGTTCTTGCCTGGAGAATCCCAGGGATGGGGGAGCCTGGTGGGCTGCCGTCTATGGGGTCGCACAGAGTCGGACACGACTGAAGTGACTTAACAGCAGTAGCAGCAGCATGGATAACAGGTCTGGGTTAACTGCTGAGATCAAGTTATGCCCTTAAATATCAGCACAGCATCACTTACTCCAGTAGGTGGGTTTCTGTTAGCTGGCATCACAACTATTATCACTGGGTGCTTGGGAAGGCAATCTGAGGGTACTGAACATAGGGATGGACAGTGTCCTAGAGTATACTGACTGTATTGGCTAATTTGAGTCTGTGATCCCCAGTTCCAGACCTCTGAGCTGCCTGCACTTCTAACATCTCACTAATGCAGCCCTCGTCCATACACATTTGTCAAGCACTCCTGCATGTAAGCCTGTGCTGGGCACAGACGATGCTACGATGGACAAGGCCATTGAAGGCCCTGCCTTCAGGTCTTGCCTTAGTCTACTGGAAAAAGAAACAAAACACAGGGAACTAAATAAAAATTATAATTGTAGATTATGATAAATGTTAAGGAGGAAAAAAACAGAGCAAAGGGGGACTTTTGATAGGAAGGTCTAGGTTAGGTCTGGCTGCATATATTAAATATCAGATCCACCATGCTTGGGTGGATGAAGCAGATGAAGGAATGAATCTGGACCTTAATAGTATATAAGATAAGAATGTTCCCTCTGCCCACCCCCTCGACACCAAAAGAATGTCTCCTCTCAAATTTGGGCCTGGAAAGTAGAATAGCACTACTGTAACCTGCTCCTCTCATACTAAGGAAACTGAAAGAAAGAAGGTGAAGTTGCTCAGTTGTGTCCAGCTCTTTGTGACCCTATGGACTGTATCCTACCAGCTACAGTACCCATCCTCCTACAGTACCCTACCAGCCCACCAGCTACTGTACCCATCCTCCTACAGTACCCTACCAGCCCACCAGCTACTGTACCCATCCTCCTACAGTACCCTACCAGCCCACCAGCTACTGTACCCATCCTCCATCTATGGGATTTTCCAGGCAAGAATGCTGGAAAATATTGTAACCTGCTCCTCTCATACTAAGGAAACTGAGGGGAAACCAAAAAGATTAAGTGACTGATAACAGATTTTGCAGTGAGTTGGTGACAGAGCCATTGCTTGGTTCAGAGTGTTCTATCTGTGTCTCCATTTTCTTTTTTTCCTTTTCTTCTAGTCTCTTTTCCTGGCAGGTGCTTCTGCAATAAGCAGTCCTAAAAGAGTTTTCTGAGTCATAAATAAGCAGCAATGATAAGTAATCACTCTATTGCCAAATCATGATGTCACTGCCCTTAATTTTTTTGTTTATAAGTTATTTTCTTTATCATAGTGAAATCCCTGCATTTATCTCCAAGTTAGTTTATTAACCTTCTCAAGCAATCTTCTTATCCCTGCTGATACCTGCAGCTTGTGTCAAAAGCTTTCCTTTCCTCTGTGATTGAAATAAAAAAACCATATACAAGAATTTCTCCTGCAACTAATTGCATGGGTCTTCTATTTTCTTACAACCTCACTCACTCACTCATTCACTATTTGCCAAGGGCCAAGCACTGTGCTAGGCACCGAGTGTACAAATAAGTTACCATCTGAGCCCTCAAAGAGCTCACAGCCTATGATCTTTCTCATAAATGGTCATAATAAACAGTGGAGTGAAGCGCAATGACTGAGAGGTGCACGGTGGACTAGAGAATGGAGGAAAGCAGCTCATCCAGCCCAGGGACCCAGGCAGACTTTCTCCTGGAGACGATCCTACATTAGGCCTTACAGAAGAGGCAGGGGAAGCCAGATAAAGGGGGACACTGCTGCATTCCAAGCAGAGGGGACAGCTCGGGTCAAGGCACAGAGAACAGAAACAGTATGTTTTGTGTAATTTGGTGCCACTGGAGCACAGCGTGGAGGACATGAAGCTGGAGAGTGCCTCCAGGGAGCGAGATCACAGTGCTTTATATGCCATTGTGGTAAGCTTTGAATATGCCTTATAGAAAACATAGGGCCAAGGCAGTGTGGAACTGCCAGGCTTGTGGTTTAGATAGACATTTTGGCTGGTGATGGATCTTTGGGGACAAAAGAGAGGCATAGAGAACAGTCACAGGCTTTCTAGTGGTTCAAAGCAGGATGCAGTGTGAGCAATGGAAGAGGCATCAAGAGGAGGGACTGGATTTAAGAAAATGTAGGCAATAAAACTGGTATGACTTGGTTATGGAACATAAGGGTGAAGGGGGTAAGAGCATTTGAGAGTGACTTCTAATTTTCTCACATGGTTCACTGGTGGGATGACAGACAACATCAGGAGACAGAACAAGTAATAAGGACCAGAGATATAACACTAACATTAGACCCTAATGTCAGTGATGGACTTTGGGTTATAAAGATGTATTAATGCAGGTTTACTGATGATAACAGATGTTCCAATATGCTGCAGGATGCTAACAGTGGGGATGGCTATGCTTGTGTGGTGTCAGAGGGTAATGCAAACTTTCTACACTTTTTGCTCAGTTTTGCTATGAACTTAAAAACTGCTCTGAAAAATAAAGTACTAAAAAAAAAGGTGACCAGAGATGTTGGGAAGATGTTGAGTTCAGTTTAAGACACTTTGAGCATCTCTGCCTGTGGGAGACCATTTATGTATAAGGCTCAAGTAGACATCTAAGAAGGAAATGGCAACACACTCCAATATTCTTGACTGGAGAATCCCATGGACAGAGGAGCCTGGCGGGCTACAGTCCATGTGGTCACGAACAGTTGGATATGACTGAAACAACTTAGCACAGACATCAAAGATAGAGTGACAAACACAGAAGTCTTCAGTATAGAGATACCACTCTTAATCTAATTTTTCTAGAAGCACACATAAGTCTGTGAGACAGAGAAGGAAAGAACCGCACTTCATGCAAAGAAAAGGCATGGAGCCATGGCTGTACACTTCAGGGCTGCCGAGAGAGCACAAGGCTCTGGGTCAGCCTTGGAGCGATCACTGGGGGGTCCAGCTGTCCCAGCGCAAGCACAGCTCTTTCAGGTCCCATCTCGTCCTCCTCGTCTTTGGAGTACAGGTGTGCTCACGCTCTGGCTATGCTTGACTGTTGTAAAAACCAGATGGTTAGCATGTTCCTTTATTCAAGCAGCTGTACGCACCCCACACACCTGCGAAAATACTTCATTTGTTCCTCAGGAGAAAACCCAAGTGTGTTCAAAGGCTTGCACAGGTGCGCTGAAATCCAAAATCCCACAGCAGTGTTTGAACAAGGCTATGTGTCAAAATGATCTGCGGAGCCTTTTTTTCAAACCCTTCCATCCTGCCCCTGGCCTGCTCTGCCTACCAGGGAATTGTGAAGTTGGTGAAAGAGGTATGATGCTGTGGTAACCCAGGCATGTATGTTTTCAAAAGCTCCACAGGTTATATGAAAACTACTGCCTCTAGGAATCCAAACCTGCCCTGTATGGTGCTTCCCAGGTATTACCTGAAGATGCTAAAAGCTCTTTTTCATAGTTCAAAGACATCTTTCCAGCAATGGTCAGTGATCTTACCCAGTTAATTTTTCCTCATGGAACTTACCACCAGTTGACATTATATTATGTATCCATTTAGTTGTTTATTAATCACCTCAACTAGCTTGTAAATGTCATGAATGAAAGAACTGATCTGGTTCACTCTCCTATTCTTGACGCCTAACACAGTGTCTGGAAAGAAGTAGGCATTCACTAAATAAATTTACCATTAAATGAATCCTATTTCACCTGTTAATGCCTGTTACTTCACAGGGAAGGTCCCTTAGTTTTGAATGTGATGCTTTTCTTTTGATTTTTCAAATATAAATAAAAACCAAATAGCAAATAGAAATGTATAAAACTGTATAGAATGCACAAAATCTACCTACCTTAGCATAGTCTAATCTTCCTTTCTCTTGAGCCTAAAATAGAAAAGAGGGGAAAATCAATTAGTTCTTTTAAAGTCACTTAGTATTTCTATAACTTTTGCTTCTCAAAGAATAAGCCAACTTTCTTCCCCTTCTCCACTTCCTCTTCTATCTCTACACAGTATGTAGTGAAACATACATATGTATGTATGTATATACATATACACAGAACTCTCAAACGTATTGAAGAGTTGAAAGATCAGTACCACGAGCACACTTATATATTCTAGGTTTGATAGTGGCAGATACCATGACTCCTCATTCCTTTATGCCTCAGCAAACATCTTGTAAGCACAGGACAAGTCATACATGATCACTTTCAAATGAAAAAAAAAAAAAAAACTAACAATAATGCCATACCATCTGATATACAATCCATATTCACATTTCTCCAGTTGTCCCAAGAATATATTTTAACTTTTCTTCTCAAACTAGAATTAATCAAGACTCACACATTGCATTTGGCTTTTATCTCTATTTTGCCTTTTAAATCTAGACTAGCCCTTCCCCATTTTTTAAGAAATGAAAATAAAAATCATTAACTTTTTTCATGGAAATAACTGACTTTTTGAGGAGACCACGGCAGCTGTCGTATAAAATGTCTCTCTCTTATTATTATCACTTTTTTCATTGTGTCATTTGCTTACAAACTGAAAGTTGGGTCTGAAAAGGCTTGCTTAGATTTAGGTTAAACATTTTTTGCAAGAAAATCTTCTATGGAATATTATATACTTCAACTGCATCAATTCAGGAGGCACTAAATGTCAGGCTCTCCTGTATCTCAGTAATGCTATAAGTTTGATCACTGGGTTTAAGTGGTGACTATCAGATGATTTCACTGTAATGACATATTTCCTTCTGTACAATTAGTAAGTAATCTGTGGATTCATTTTTTCCCCCACTCCCTTTGGCATAATTTTTAACATGTTGTATTGTGCAAAAGGCCCCCACCTCCATCCCACCGTCACCAGGGATGAGGAGAGGGAAGAAAGCTGGAGGTGAGGAGACATCCTATATAAGGTAAAATTTTAATATTTTTAGTTATTAAAAAGCAATTTGAAATTAAAACATATACTCAAAAGCGTTATTTATCACATCTGAACATGACAGAGACAACCAATGTGTTAGTCTTTGCTGGCAGGTTAGCTCATCTTCTGTGGACTTGAGAGCAAAACTCCTGCACCTCTGCACAGAACAGAGCCCTGTAACTTACAAACAGCCTAGGTGTTGAGACCATGTTTTTTTCTGAGGCCAAAATGACACTGTACAGATAATGACACTAAATGTGGGCAGATTACTTACATGAGAGAGAATGAGATCTTTATAACATTACTTTAAAATCTTTTTGTTTCTTCATAATCTTAAAAAAATTTATCCTAAGAGGCCTAATTTTGTTTTTCTTATTTTCATGAAAAGCAACTGCTAACAAGATACTGCTCATGTATAGCTTTTGACACCATCACAAATGATTTAGTTAAGTAACTGGGACTTCGGTTTTAATATTTCAGTGAAACAAAGAGCCTCTGCAACCTATGTACTGTAAAAAAGAATTTGTGGCTTTCAATCTGTTCTTCAAAGATGTTTTTGGGATCTAAGATTTTCAGTGAACTAAGAAGGGTTTGAACTTAGTCCTGAGATGTAATATACCAGCAGGAATAAGAGTCGGTTCTTGCAGATATTTTAAAATGAGGCTCATTCTCTCTGCTTGGGTATTTTATATCTACTGTCCAGGGACAGACTTGTCTCTTCCCCAAGTTAAAACAATTCTGTCAAAAAACAAACAAACAAACAAGTCTGTCTACACTGAAATCTCTCTCCCAACACTGTAACTTCTGCAGGCAGGGTGTGGAACCCAAGAACATCTGCATGGTGCACTCATGACCTAGCTACTCACTTTGATATCATGCAAATATGAACTGGCTTTGATCTCATGAATAATCCATGGCTTGTGACCAAAACTTCAGCAGCAGCGTTTCACAATATGCTTAGTCTTCAAGTTCTCAAATTCTCACCTGTCTCTCAAATTCACTTTGAGTTAAGGGGTATCTGACATGGAGGCTGATTCTGTGGCCACCAGTTTCCCACCTTTTCAATTGCTCATCCTTTCCCTCGTCTCTTGCCAGGTTTCTCAGGCAAGGGTTGTCTCTTGCATGGGTTTCTCAGGCACAGCATTTTTCCAGCAATGCACAAACTGGGAGCCCTACGGAATTAAACTATCAAACAACTCATTTCTGTAATGTGTCAGCCATTTCCTCACTACTTTTAGTCATGTTTCTGTTCTATCTCCCTCCTCTTCATTCTAGCACTTTCAACATTCTCATCTTACAGTGTTTAACATAAAGGGCATGTGAGAAGTGTTGAAAGTGGTATCTGTTGAAAGTTTGAAAATTGAGTACCTTTCATATCTTAATGTTGCAGGGTAAAGTGCAGAGAAACTATAATTTACAACGATGGAGGTGGCCTTTTCCTTTTGGAGGTACTGAGCCATTTCCCCAATCGTCCCAGAAAAAAAAATTCAGTTTCTTCAGATAGTAATATAATGCTATTTACAGATAAAGACATCTAGACTAGTCTCATCACATACCTTGCTTATAAACTAATCATCTTAGAGAATTCTATTATTTTGAAGTACTTGTGCTTTAATCAGCCACAAGCTATTTTCCTTTTCTTAAAAAAAATTGAAGAGTTGATTTACAATATTATTTCAGTTTCAAGTGTACAGGAGTCAACATTTTTATAGAATCACATGCGTGCTAGGCCCCCACCTCCATCCTACCAGCGAAGTCGCTTCAGTGGTGGCCAACCTTTGCAGCTTAAGGTCTGCAGCCTGCTGGGCCCCTCTGTCCATGGGATCCTCCAGGCAAGAACACTGGAGTGGGCTGCCATGCCCTCGTCCAGGGGGATCTTCCTGATCCTGGGACAAAACCCATTTCTCCTGCGGCTCTTGTGTGGCAGGTGGATTCCTTACTGCTGAGCCACTGGTGAAGCTAACCCCCACCTTTTTTTTTTTTTTTTCTTTTTTTAATAGAATCACAGCTATTTTCAAACCTTCTCATTTTATTTTGTATTCCTAGCTTGGCTACCACCTTTTACATGGTGGAGATATCCTTTGCTGGGAATGATGGCAAAGAAACACCATGTTATGTAAATCCCTATTTAACATCAGCTCTTAAATGTTTTGAAAGCTGAGAGACTAGAACCCTACATACAATGACAGCATGACAGCCACAGCCAACACAACCCGAACAAACTGTAACTGCTGATAATGCTGCTCACCTGAATGTCCTTTTTATTTTGTCACAACAAACGTTCAAGTCTTGTGAAGACCACTTCATCCTTGACTGCTTTAGCTTGTACATAAAAGTATCATTTATTATTTTATAAAATAAAATACTATAAATAATTAGATCTTTATAGGTATATATTTCCAGCTGCTATGTGAGTTAATATCCATGTATGCCAGACACACACCTGAAAGTATACTCTGATATAAAAAAATTTTTTTTTCACAAAAAACTTTTAGAGCTTATAAAATACAGCAAATTAGAAACAAATGCACATGGTTTAATCCTGTACATAAATAACATTTCTTATGGAATGTTACCAATTCTTTCAGCTTATAAAACAGTTAGTTTGGGAAGGGCCATGGTTTCTGTTTCATCTGACGGTGCTCATTCATTCAATACTTGTCCACTGTGTACCTGATGGGTGTTAGATATTGCTCTGCCACCAGAGACACAGCAAGGAACAGAACAAATAAATATCTCTTCCTCTAGGGGGTTGTATAATCTTATTTTCACATACAATCTCCCTCTAGAACTTAAGCTCCTTGAGAATATGGACATTTTCTCTCCTGATCATAACTGTATTCCATGTCTAGAACAGTGCCTATAGATAGGAGATGGTCAGTATCTGGTGAAAGAGTGAATAAATGGATAAATGCTTCTTCTTAATAAGTGCTGGTTATATACTGTTTATTCAGGAGACTTACAGAACAAAGTTCATATCATTCCTAGTTCTAGGAAAGCTGGGTGTTTAGAGTCAGTCAGTATACAGTTAATGGGGAGTCAATATCTGGTGTCTTAAAAATAATTTTTACTCATATTGAACAATACTGTATTTTGATTTTATTACTCAACTTCTATTTAGAAGTAAGCTGAAGATGGAAATCTATAAAAAATAAATTCAAGAAATTTGTGAAACTCAACAAAAGAAAACAACAGAGAAAAATAATCTACCAAGCTTCTCATAGATGCAGCGGTTTAGAGTAATTAAGAGTTTCAACCTTGACAACAGTGACTGAAAAGAAAAGAGCCTAATGGAGGTCATGAGACCTCAGATTTCAAATGTGCACCGCCAAACCTCAACTGGTAAGCAGGCCCTGTCCATGGAGGGAAACTGGTGGCCTAAGCTCTTAACTGTAACCACTTTAAGAGGCACTGTGACCTCCTGGGAAATGGATATGCTGGGAGCCAGAAAATACGGTTTCAGGTCCATACTAGGATAACACCTCAAGTAATTTTAAATTTTTACATGGATTTTCATTTTCTTATTTGTAAAATAAGTGTACTGGGTCAGACCAGGTGTTCCCAAGCACTGGCCTGGCTGTATCAGAATCACCTGGGCAACCTGTTGAAAATGCAGGTCCTCAATACCCTAGCCCTGAATTCTGAGTCATTTGAGGGTCACTGATGTGGGCTATGCCTAACATCCTGCTTCTGTATGCATCAGTGTTTATTTCAAAGGCTAAAAAGAGGACAACTATATAAACTCTGTAAGTCTCAAGGAGAATGGAGTGCCGTAACTTTATCCCCCTCTTTTTTTGACATCTGCCACTTACCATGTATATTTCTAGCAGAGCAAGATATTAAAATAACTTTCTCACTGGGGCCCAAAATAGGCTGATATAAAATAAATGCAGACTGTATTTCAACAGCCGGCAGTCCTGAACCTCTTCCTGCCGCACTGTTCATCTCCAGAAGCCACTGTAAATT